TTAAAAAAAAATAAAGTGGGTCATTATAAAAAAAATCCCAAGTAAATCAGAATTTTCTGCTGAAGTTTGATCACAAATCTGCACAAACGTGGAATAAACGAACAGATCAATAAGAATAATTGGTTAGTGGGGAGGCTAAGTCCTTAGGCCCCTCCCTCCTTCAATGTTTAACATCTCGGAAATGGGTTAAGCACAAACGGCGGGAATAAAAGCAAAAACAAGTATAAACGACTGTAAAAATTTGAACTCGAAAGTCCAAGGTAGTGGGGGGGCTGAGCATGTCCCCAGCCTCCCCACCTTGAAACTTCGATAACTCGGAAACGGGTTGAGCACAAACAACGGGAATAAAAGCACAAACAAGCACAAACGAAGCACAAACGACTGTAAAAATTTGAAGTCAAAAGTCCGAGGTGGGGGGGGGGCTGGGGACATGCAGCTCAATGTCTATAACCTTTAAGGGATATGAAAAAGTTAGAAGGGCTTCAGCACCCCCAGTTTTTTATTGAAATTGTGTCCCTGAACTTGGGAGAACACTTCACTGGTCTCGCTTTGCTCAATATTCACAAGAATATACCCATAAATATTGATAATATTATTTCTAAATTTGGTAAAATAAAACAAAGAAGATTAAACTTTGTTACTTAATTTTAAAAATTAACAATTTCATATATTTAGAACGTTCTAATTTTAATTAATAATTTACTTTAATTATTTTGTAATTGTGTATTATCTTTTTGTTCTCTCGAAAAAAATGACTTCTCCTAATTTGAGTTCTAGATCCGCCCCTGTTTATATATAATAATTAATAGCTAATTTACATGTTATGAAATGTTTGTTATTATTCACGCAAAAATAAATGGTTGAAAGTAATATTATCATTTGATTATATTATAATTATATCATTCACCTTGAAATGTTATACTTATATACTAAAAATACTATTTATGAAAATGGTAGTACTATTTCCACAATATCACATACATACATTTACTCTGCAGGGATGATAAATTCATTATATAATGGAGAGTTGATATAAAAAATAAAATTACGTTTTATTAAATATTAAATTAGGTAGATGTAGTATCTTACTAACACCATACTAGCTATATAAATAATGGAATGTATATGCAATATGCATGATTTATGCTATATTTTATATAATTAAATGTATTATAATAATTAAAGTCTTCGGGGAGATATTTTAAATTATATTTATTGTGGAAAAACTTATATAAACTAAATAAAATTATAAAAAACATTCAAAAAAATAATATTACATATATATATTATAATTCCTGTAAATATCTAGTATACTATATGACCTATAACAAAACAGGTAAAGTGGGAATTTAATTTTGTCTTAGAAATCATAATTTGTTCAGGTTATTTGCTCTTTTATTATTTCTTACATACATATTAAGGTGTGGCGAGTTGTCTATACATAGCTATATAGTAACATTAAAATTATTTATGCTTCTTAAAAATAAACGGTTTTTATTCGATCTTATGAAAACATATTATACATCAATATACCTTGAATTTGGAGATATGTAAAGTCAATGAAGGTTAAAAATGATTTATAATTTAAATGTTTAGACTTATGAGCACATTCGTTTTAATCAAATATAAATTTATCAGCTACAAAAATAAACTTATGAAAACATTATTGTTTTTAATTTATATACAATTTAAAATTTAAACTTCAAGAAGTAAGTAACTTCAAATTTATTTACAGACACCATGATGTAATAACAAAAAATCCTGATTTTGAATTGCGAGTCAACTTCAATCTGCAAACTTCCAGTAGATATTATTGGAAAAACATCTACTATAAAATGTTTTTCAATTTGACAAAACAAAAAATATAAAGCTTTAATTAATAATAAACTACTGATGGTTATGAATGATATGATTATTATAAATTAAATTACAATATCAGTCTTAGATTGTGGACCTACGTAATATAGTTCAATGAACAGCATTGTGTCTCGCATAAAGTAAATGCTACAGTTTTCATTCTAAGCCATTTATAAAGCCCTAGTAATAGGAAAGACAATATAAAGACGATTTTTTTTTTTTAAATAAATAAGGTTAAGTTTAGTTAAATCTCATTCACGTTGTTTGCCTTATGGAATTATGTTAATATTCAATTGACAAATTAATGTTTAATTGTATTATGGTATTTACTTTCAAGAAGACAAAGTTTTTACTTCTTTAATTACCAAAAGGCATTAGTATAGGAATTGTTGTGTGATGTATATTTTTGTGGTTTTTATTTTAAGATACGAAATAAATTGAAATTTATCTTACTTAATATTTCAAAGTGTAGGTACCACCTGTGTTAGTTTTATGATCTTAATACAGAATTTAATGAAAATGTTTGAACATTATTTCTGCCGCATCACTAAGAATGTATTGTGATATAATACACTACCATCTTATGGTAAATGAAGTAATTAAAATAAAAATGTTATGCCGTAAACGCGTAAACAACAGTTTAACTAATAATATAATGACAACGAAGAAATGGTAATCAGCGTGGAGGACAGCATCGTGTATTGGTTATTGTAATAATAATATTACATTGTTACTTGTTATCGTATTACAAACGGCTATTATCTCGGTGGATATTTTTTGTTCGACCATTTTCTATTTCTCTGATATTTTCCAAAAATATCTCGGTCACTGACGGCATTCGAATAATATATAGGTTCCCATTATTATGCATACGGTGTGAAATGTGTGCGAGTTAAGAAATCGATGTGATAAAAACGAGCTCTACCGGTGTCAATGTCAACCATATATTTGTATATATTATGTATATTATATGTATAATATATAATATGTGCATAATTTAATAACATAATAGCAATTACAATAACTCATTAGGTACCCAACAGCAAGGGGGCCCGCAGATGAAAATTCAGGGGGGCAGCATTAATTTTTATTAATAATCAAACACTTTTATATTAATTAAACACTTTTACTAACTAATTGAACACAAATTGCAATTTTATTTTATTTTTCCCGATTTCATCAACAACTTTTTCAGCTAAATGAATTTGTTCGATTTTTTTTTTCTGTGTAAACTTAACATACATAATCCGGATAAAAGATTCTCTTACATTTTTTAACGTAACCAGCTATAAATATTAATACACCTTGGTACCAATTATGATTTTTAGGATTTTGGAATATTTAATTTGGATATAATTTTTTTAAATAGTTGGAAAGCTAGGAAGAGAGTTGTCCCCCCTGCCTCTCTTTACGGACGCCCTTGCCCGACTGATTGTACTTTTATACGTGCTACGACAACAGGTACCCGTTTTCTTATATTATAATGGTATAGTATATATATTATGTTATAATTACATTATTGCGGTTCCATGGTTATGTCCTCGACCGTGCCGAAACACACGACGAAATAGAAACGATAACCGAAACACGTATGGTATACTAATGAGCGATTGTAAATTGCGCCCTTATGATATATGATATTGTTGCGCACCAGTATTATTATTTTATCTACTTTATGGGTAGAAATAACTGTGGGCATATTGTTTTATGATAATACATGAATACATGGTTGGTATAGGTACAATAATAGTACAATGTGAATTGTAATATAGAATGAACTTTAAACTGTTAACGCTCTTATTATTTTTAAAACTAATATCATCAATCGACGGTTATTACCACCGATATTGTGGACTTTTAAATTTGAAGATAATTGCCCGATAACCTTTATTAAACAGGCAGTTGTTTCATGTTTGTGTGTCACGATGGACTGTGCACGCCGTAAGTCTATTCAAGAAAATTACGATATTCTTATGTATCAAGACTATAAATTTTCCAAGATGAAACGTGAATTAGCTGCTGATGAAATTAAGTGGCCGTGTTGCATCAAAGCGTGCAAGACTTCGCTAGAAAAACAAAAACCGTTGACTGAAAAAAAATCAATTCAAAATCGACTAAACCATGAGGTTCATAATTGTGTTGTGGATTGTAAATTACACCAGAAAATTAAACTCGTTAGAAAGAAGCGAAAAGCTACCGTCGACGTTTGTGAAAGGCCGTCAAAAGTACTAAACACATCGTTGGCAACCACCAAGGATTCAAACAACATTAAGGTTAGTGGCGTTAAGTTAATAAAAACAAATACAATTACACGTAGTTGTAGTTCAAAAGTATGTTACATGTGCCTATATCTGATATTTATCGAAAAAAGCAGCTTCGAACAGCTTCAAACGCGTTTACGTTATGGGTGTTGACACGCACACATGATATGCATGTTATAGACTTCGCGTACCAATGTCATATTCAGTTTACAGGCAGTACATTGACGTGTTTACGGGGAGGAATATGTGGGGTTAGTTTGAGCTTTCTTTTTCTCTAAAATAAAATTAACTTTAATGTGTAATTCTTAAAAGTATCACAGAAAGAAATGTTCTATTTTTATATAATTCGTCGTGATTGAAACACGTTATGATTAAGAAAAAACGCGAATTTTGTTACCAGAGCAGTGAGTGCCTACAAGTAGGTGACTTAAACAACGCGAGAAAAAAATATCCTGAACACGCCACTGGAGCAGTACAACGTAATAACAGTTCGTTGGTGGTAATAAGGTTGGAAAGGTATAGGAAGTGTGCGCATTGTGCGTGAATATTATTTTCGTGAAAATACGACGGCTACAGTGTAATGAATAAGCGCTTCGGCGGCAGTATCCGGGGAACAAAGGGGGAAAGAAAACGACGCGGGTGCACTATAGTCGTTGCGGATCGGTCCACCCGGAGCGCTGCGCGCGATTACGATAGATACTATATTTTATATTGGCGGGAATGGACGGTGCAGCGCGAAAAATGAAAAACAACGTTTACGGCGGAGATGACGTGCGGGGGGAGAGGTACGTGGCGGCCGCAGTCGTTTTATTGATCGTCAAACGCGCGCGCACCGCCCCACTCCACACAGCCCTGCCACAGACTACGCCGCGCAGTTGATGGCGCGACGCGATTTCCACACGCTCTCAGTCCACTACCGTACGCGCCCGTGTCAGTGCTTGCACGGTCTCTGGTCGCTACACGGTCTTCGAACTTCACGGCGCCGTCTGATAACAATCGGGAAAATCCGTTCAGGACAACGACACTGCCGCCACCTCCATTGCCCGGGCCAAAGACGTTTTCTTTCTTACCTCGCCTCCCCCCTCCCCTGGCCCATCCCTCTGCTCGGTTCGTGTCCATCCTCACCGTATTGTTCTGCACACTCAGCCGTGTGTGTTGACGTTAACGCCGCGAAACAACAATACACCGAGAGTATCTCGTTCGCGGGTGAATTTTTTTCTCTATCGACAAACCGTGGCGTAGAAAAACCTTCTCGAGTCTTTTTTTCCCTGCCTACCAACCCCGCTACCGTGTACCGCGACGAATGATTTCCGCCGTTTTCCGCACCGGCCGGGTTTCGTCGTAGTCGTCGACGCCGCCGCCGCCGCAGCAGCAGCAGCAGCAACCGACCGATGATACCGCCACAGCGGCGACAACAGTTTCCGTAGCTGGTCCGGTCCTTGTGCGCGCAGGTAGCCCCCGCCGCCGTCAGTGGTGTCACCGAGAGGAAGACATCGATCCCGGCGAAATGGCCAAGGTAAGACGGGTAGAAGAGAACGCACACATCTGGTGTTAATAGTATTATTATTGGTTTGTACAACGGTGGGCTTACCTATAACACATAGTCGTCTTCGAACGCAAAAGAAAACATTCAAATGAAACCATATCCAACAATGGAAAAATACCGACGGTGTAACAGCACACGCGTCTGCTCCATTGTTTTGCTCGACAATCCTTGGCAAGACGCGCGGCCATCACGACGATATCGCGTCCGTTGTGCATGATGCATGCCCCGACCACGACAGTCGGTTTTATGCAACCGTTTTGCTCTCGTCCTCGATATTGTATTATTTCATTGCAGGCGGTTGTGCGATATGGTACGGTCTATTTTTACCGTCGCTCACGTCCGTCGTCACTCCAACTCGTTTCGCGTGTCTTCCGATGTCATTCCGGTACCATTTTTCCGCGAACCCAAACAAGTGTTGCCATCACTGCCGATTTCGTCGTGCAAAACAGATGAAGTTAATTATTTTGACATCTACCCGCTAGTCTTCTGTTACCTACATACGTGGTGTAAATTTATTACTCCGAGTATATATATATATATTATATGTAATATATACTATAAACCGAAATGATCTTTACTAAGAATCGTCTTATTCCAAGTTATCAGTTTATTTTACGTTTTTGGGAAATTATGCCCCTTCATATATTATTTCCCTTCTGCGGTTAGAAAATTAATTTTCGAGTGCTCCGACCGACTTTTTAAAATGTAGACATTTATATCCTTGTGCGGATCGTGTGTGCCGTTCGTTTTTATCTGTCCGTCTCACGTCTCGGATTTTCTATACTAAAATCTAAATTTCACGCTTTTCGCACCGATCGAATGTCTCGCCGTACCCATTGTTATTATTCACGACTGGGCAGTATTACATTTTTCGTCGTATATTACCACTTTTGTATTGTGACAACGACGATAACCTTGATGAAACGCGCTCTCACCCAGCCCGCAGTTTCCTTATATTTAATAGAACCTCTACCTCTACCTCCTAATATAATAATAATAATAATAATAATAATAGTAATATAATAATAATAATAATAATATAATAATTATAGGATGTTTAACCGACAATATTATTGTCACACATTCACACACATCGATGTTACGTAGGTACGTTGAAGTTTTAGTTATACCATTCACACTACCTATGTGCAATACTAAATACTAATTATTGACATAAATAAACGTGCATGAAATTATTACGTTTCATGAATTTTTTCTCAAGATAATTGACCGCCAGCCGTCCGTTCGTTGAGTTGACCTATTTTAATGACGTAAAGTATTATTATTATTATTATTATTATTGCAGGAGGTATCGAGTACAACAGTTAAAAGCGTCCGACCGGCGTTCAAACGTACGGTATACCCCATCTATTTACTCAGGTGAATCCTCGCGCTGTTTAAATAACTTATTAATGTTTGTAGCATTTGAACTTACCTGTTCGCTTACCATTATTAAAATATTTTGAACGAATGGCAATAGATTTGATTTCTAAAAAATAATAATATTTGTGAAAATTATAATAGATTGTCCGAGGTATTTATCAAAAGAAAAGAAAATTTTCATGTGTTTATCTGCTTTTGATTATTTTAAGTATCTGTATGAAAGAATTAATGTTCTTACATTTTGTCAAAGTGAAGTAGGTACAATTTATAAGAATTTTAAAATGTTTTTAATTAAAGTCCAAACAGTATAATTCCAAAAACAATCATGGGCAGAACTCTAACATGTTAGTTAATACGGGAATCGACAAGATTTTATTATTGATAAGAAAAATATGATCATCGGACGAAATTCTAGAGCAATTTGGGGCTTTTAAAAATCATTGGGAAATCCATTTGATTAACCGTGCCTACGTTAAACTTATTAAGAATTTTTTACTGACTCAACAAATTTTAACCAATGATTTAGGTAATTTATTAGTTTAATATTTCACTTCTCTTGGGATCAATAATAATAATAATTATGAAAAATGGTTTTTTTCAAATGTAAGTTTTTAAGTGAAAAAGCACTTAATAAAATATTTAACTTATTATAGATGTAATAGCTGATTAATGATGGTTATTAGAAGTTACCGACGAAATTGAAATCACTAAAATATATCTTCTTAACAGATAACAGTTCTGAAAAACGTCATTATTTGAAAATCATGTTAAATCTATTTCTTCCTAGTATTTTGTAATTTTGTATATTTTTTCATGGAAAATATTATTGACACTAAGTAATTGTAGTGCCAAGACGAGAAAGATCTGGTTTATTGCCACGTAACGTAATATACGCTAATATTTATTAGATTTCTAATATATTTATTTACTCGTATATTGTTAAATTATGAGTTACGTAAACATTGGACACGAGTTTTTTTTTTATTAAAAATTAGTTGTTTAAGTATTATTACTTTCTTATTATTTTATAACATGAGACATGATGACAAATGCTAGGAAGGGATGTATCAAACTTTATTACACCGTGGTACTAATGGCTTTCATCTTATTGTTAATAAAGACTTATATGTATAATAAATTAATTAAAACTTATTTTTTTTATTTTAAATCATCCTTTGTAAATTCCAAAATCTAATTGATCTTTTGTTATATATATAGTTTAAAAATATAATTAATATACCTATAAACAAATTAACAAATAATTTATACTTAGAAATAAATAAATAAATAAAAGCTTAGTCTGGAGTATTATTGTATTGGTAAAATTCATCGTCACGTTTTTACAAATATAATATAAGTATACAAAAATAATTTAAAATAAAGTAAATAATATACAATGTCAATAAAATTGCGGCTTAATTTAAAAAAATAAAATCGCTACTCAGTCGTACTTTACTATATAATAATACTCCAAGCTAAGCTTTTATGTATTTATTTATTAACTTATTTCTATATGTAAACTATTACATATTTATTTGTTTATTGATTTATGAATATTAATCATTTAATACATTTTTATTTTTATTTTATTAAAAAAAATTAAAAACAATTGATAAAAAATTAGCCTCTGAAATGTCTTAAATTTCTTAAAACTGAGGCACAAATTCAAACTTTTTAGACATTCTACTTGGTTTTATTTTACTTATTTTTATGTATAATTTTTACTTGTAATTAAGTATTGATATCATACGTGTAAATGCTTTTGAAAAATAAACGAAGAACCGTTACAAAAATTAAAGTTACAATGTATATGTATTACATAATTTTAATACGCTGCACTCGAGATAACCTAAAACGTATAGTTTATTTCTTGAGATTTTTACACTGTACGCCGTACGAGGGTGATTAAAATTATGCTTTTGTATCGATTTTTTTTGACAAAGACCACTTAAAAATTTGTTCTTCATGGAGCTAAAAGTCTTATACTACACGTAGCTCAACGACTTTCTGATTGTTGTTTCACCATCCCTACATTTTACAAACTATTTCTCTCATATTTACCAAACATGGAGAATATTTTACATGACTTAATCAAACTAACAAATAATCGTGACTTGTCACATCTCATATTTTTATTTTTACGTACAGTAAAACAATCAAGTTGAATTTAATGAGATGAGTTTTGAAATTTCATTTGAAGTCAATCCGTCTCCTCCCCATTTCATATTATGAGTTATTAGGTTGTTGTCTTACAACTTTTTTTTATAACGATTATATTATGGTATAAAACGAATGTATTACGCAGTGATTTAATTTCAGAAATCGTTAATTTTATTCATCAATTAATGTAAATAGGTCTGTGTCAGAAATATATTTGGAAAAATATCTAATCACTAATAAAAAACCATTTGTTACATACGAGTACATAATAAAACAATATTTAAGCTACATGTATTTCGCATTTATTAATTATTTTCAAAGTATACCATATATAGTTGATTATTTTATCATTTTATATTATGTTAATAATATACCTCAGTTCTATTTCTATATTTTTAATTACATTTTAAGAATTTACTAAATAATAATTTAGTTAACATTCATTCATTAACCTAATATCTCCCCAGAGACATAATAATATATGAAAATTTAATAATTAATAATAACATTTATTACAATGTTTTGTTTTAGGTTGATTAATGAGTAAATCATTTTAATTATGTTTGCTATTAAAATATTTAAAATTTTAGTAGGTACCTAATCTAAAGTATTTTGTAGTACGTCTTACAACTTTTTTTGTATGTAAAACAAACGTAGGAATATTAAATTTAGTTATTAATTTTGAATAATATATAGATATTGTAAAAGTTATAAATAACTAGATGCTTACTTCATAATTATTATTATCAGTTACCATTTTAAGAGTAACTACATTTTCTATATTTTCGTTGGATCAGTTTCGTAGTAATAATTACGTTTAATAATTATTATTAGTATACAATAAAAATAATAGTTGCTATACAGTTTCAAAGTATCTCTAGGTTATTAAACTAGTGCATATTAAAGTTAACAGTTAATAGTTATAAGTTACGTTTTAAATTAATTTAAATTGCCTCATTTATATTTATATTTTTTATAGGTTACTTTATTTCGGACACAATATTTAACAGTTATTTATAAATTAAACGTCTAATAAAATCTATGTCAAAATTATGTATGTGCATAAATCATATTATAATTACTAGGTTTCTTCGTGATGGCTTATAAAAGTAACTAATTTAATAATATTAAGTTATAGGTGAGTGGGTGCATTATAATCCAACAATATAGTAAGTATGAAAACTGTGAAAATTATAGAAACCTACATAAAACTTACGAACCCCGAAACGGATTTCGATAAAATATGAATATAGTTATCAAAACATGAAATGATATATTTTAATATAATACATCCATTTTTAATCATACATAAGTATATATTTGACATTTAATCTGATAAAATATTAAAAATTAATCAAATTTAAGACAAAACTATTTTGATACCTATTCGTGTTGTTAAACAATTTTGACAGTAAGTCATTTTTATAATGAAAGCAAAAGTATATTATAAGACGTATTCATGCAAAAATATTATTAATAGAAAATTAATTTATTGAATTGAAATTTAACAAATTTAATATTTCATTATTATAAAATGTAGATACTTATTATTTGATATTAATCATGAAATTGAAATTTTGATTTTGAAATTGTGTAAAATTATTATGCTTAAAATTGGTTAATCTTTTTACTGTTTTTTTTCATGTTTATGTTTTTGGTAGGTGATTTAAGTTATAATAGATTTAACACTTTGATTTATAATTATTTTAATTTAAATATTAAAAATAATTAATCCATGATACAATTAAAATTACACTTAAAATCAATTAATGACATTGTAGAATGCTCTACTATGTATATTAATTTTTGACAATTGGTTGGTAATTCATTAAAAATGCTCTGTTCAGTAGTTTATTTCATTGCGCCATAATAAAATGAATAAAGAGGCCATTTGTCGTTTGGGCTCCTTCATTGAACACTTACAAAGACTTAGGTTGTACTATGCTACTGTAAAATACTCGGTCTATTTAATTTGATGAGGCTTCTAATAATATTAAGTATAGTATGTTATATTAAAGACACTTAATTTAAAATATTTTTTACTTTTATTAATCAATGTTTTGTTAATTTTTTGTATTAATAATCCTTAAAAATGTATTTTTAAATATATTTTTCTTTATATAAAATTATTTTTAAGTAAGTCAAATTTAATTTTTAAAATTCGTGGGATTTTTCAAATGTCATATTTAGAAACTGAATTGTCAAATAATCATTGAAGGAAGATATAGATTTTACATTTCTGCGTTTTACTTTAAAAATATTTTTATTTAAAGTGAAAATATTTCAAAAATTTTTCCCCAATAACATAATTATATTGGTCGAAAAATGTATTTATGTAGGAAGTATAGAATACAAAACAAATTTCCCCGGAAATTTCTCAAATATTCCTAATACGGCTTCTGAAAAAAAATGTTTCATAATATTCTAATTATACTCAGTTAATGTTGAAAACTTAAAATTATTACTTTTTTTTTATGGAGTTCTTACTTCTTAAAACTTTAAAAACATCTATGAGAGACTAGAAAACATTTCTAGTTGGTGTTAATTTTTAAATCATTTTATATGAATTAAATATTTTTATCTTTTCTAAATATCTTAAAGCAATTTTCAGCTATAGTTTTGATTAATTTTAAGAGATTCATTCCCACGAAGTATAATTTTTGCATTAACGTATTACATAAATTTCATCAACATTTACCATAAGCCCAAGCTTTAAAAGTCATATCATATAACTCATATGTTATAATAGTTATTATGTTGATAATTAGTAATTTTATTTTGGCATTCTTCCAAACAGTTTTGCGACTGTAATGTACGTATTAAATATTTACATAATATTACAACTTACTACTACTTCACATCGTAGCGTAGTAATAATTTATTCAGCTCTTGAGGCGATATGTGTACAGTATTTCTTTCGCTCGAAAACTTGTCTCATTGATATGCATCAATGACGTCAATCCTTTCCATTTTGATTAGCGTGGCATAACTGTGATAATGTGTGATGCGATTTATAATAAATCGTAATCGTAATCTCTATCATACATTTTTAATAAAATTAAAAACCATATTGTTTCAATTAGGAAATATGAAAAATAAATCAAAGATCAAAGTTTTAATATTTTTTTGTACTTCCATTATCCTTAACGAAGCTAATTATGTGGACTTATAATTATGCTTCAATAAAAACGAGAGTCTCTTTTTTATCTATTTATTAAATTTGTTGTAAGTTAATAAACTTAAAACAAATTTAATAATCATAAAAATAATGATTTAATATTTTTTTTTTTATTTTGTAAAAATCATACCATAATATTTTATATGAAATCATTATCAGAACGTAGACGTCGGAATGATTATGCCCCTTCTGATTAACGGGATTGTATTTCTTGATGTTTAGTATGACTTGCTTCTATTGTGATTGATGTTTAATCTTTATTTTCATAGCTTGTTCATATTATACTATTATTTTCTGTACGTCTATCTACTCTATAGTATAGATACTATTATAATAAAAAAAATTCCATCATTTATCACGGTCCGATGTATATAATGTTACGCTTGCACGGTTCCTCGTTAGGGACATTCCAAGGTCTTCTTGGGAAGTTAGGGATCGGATGTTCGATACGAACAAAGCGACCTACGATACTACTTATTTTGAACCAATATTAAGTATAAAATAATATTTTAACATATTATGTTACGTTTATTTTCAATTATGTCTTTGGTCATTTTAATTGTTTTTAGAATCAGCTGTAGACGATATTTTTTAGTTTTAATTCAAAATCAGACTAAAACAATTATACGTAATTAGATTCTTGAAGTAACGAATCATATTATCATATTTATTGAATTAAGGATTTTAACTAGAAATGTATTCAATATTCTTACTTCACCCATATTTGTAATCGCGTATAATTAAATTTAAATTAGTTTTTTCACATAAGCTTGTTATAAATGATTCAAATATAATTTCAAAATTAAAACTCTGGAATAATAAAAGTGCATTAAACATTTCAAGGATTATAGCATCATTGAAAATTATGTTTTTTTTTTAAATTTTTAACATAGTAAACAGTTTTAAAACCATTTATTATTAATGTTATATCAATAAAAGCATGACCATGTTTTCGCAATATTACCCGTGTAATAAACTTTAATATCTTTGAGTTAGTTATTATTTAAATACATACAATTTCCTTTTATTAAACAGCTATTATTATTTACATAGTAAAATGAAATAGTCCTAAGTACCATTAAAATAGGATTTTACAATTTTTTTAGAATTTTAGAAAATGTGTAAAATGAAAGTAAATTTTATACCTACCTACAGATGTTTTTATTGTATTTGATGGATTGTATATGTGCTACTTTCTAATATATCTGGATGGTACTGCACATTGTTATTATGTTTTGTTTTGTCACGAAAAATATCTTATAAATAATATTTTGTTATATTTCTATTACCTAAATATCTAACAATATTACCGCATTGGAACCTTTTAAAATAGATTAAAGAAATTAATCTGATAATATACAATTTTAGATTCTAATTTGATGATTTCTGAGGTTATAATATTTTTTCATAATGAAGTGAATTTAAAATATATGCTTTTATTTGATTTTTATTCTGTAATAAAGAGTTTTAAAAATATTATTATATTTAACTTTAATGAATAAATATATTTTGATATTATATAAAACTGTTTGATATTATTATTACGTTTGTTATTTCGTCAACATAAATAATAATAATATAAAAAAATAAACCGATACAAATATTTTTTTTTATCTATTGTATAAAATATTATTACAGAGTATGTTTCAGTTTTATAATAGATCTCACGATAATTGACAATAATTTTTTTTTGAGTTGCATCGATATTCGTATTATGTTAGAGTTTTATTTTAATTTTCATCTCTATGGACATTCTTCGAACCTATGAATAATTTTTCCATTTCATTGGCTTATATTGTTGCGTGATAGTTACTCATGTATTGTTAAGTAAGTATTGATCGGTTTGTTGACTGCCTCCAGCCAATAATTTTAAATTTAATTTTCGAACCTTGTAAATGAAAAAATTAGGTCGGTAAAAATCTAACTAATGTATTTTTTTTTCTTTTGGATTTTAGCCACAACTCAAAAGTAATAATATTAGAAAAAACCCAAATTAGATTTATAGGACAAAAATCTCCATAATCGAGTACTCTGATCTATTTTTGGAGCTAGAGGTCTGGCCAAGTAAATATTTTATGACATTTTGGCTTATATATATATATATATATATATATTTATATAAACTTTTAGTCTTAAAAACGAAGTTTACGGACGTAAGGTGTAATATTATAGATAGTCTTTAATTAATATCAATCGTCAAAAACATTCCAACGACTGTTTAGTTTCTACGTTTAGTTTTTTCTCGTATATTTATTAATTTACTTTTTGTTTTTCTCTTTATTAATTTAACTACTTTGTTATTATTCCCAGATTCTCAAATTTCATGTGGTCCCTTTTTAATTTAATATTTATCTAATTATAATTTGAAAACAACAAAAATAATGAATTAAAATATTTGTATATTAACGGATTTAAATATTTTGTGTATTTTCATCAAATTCACATTACTGAAACGTAACTTAGTTTACGATATTATATTACGTGGGTTTAAAATATTAATTTGATTGTTTTTTACATGCATATAACATTAGTTGAAGTAACCAACTATTTGTTGTAATATTTAAAAATATATATTTTCTCAAAAGACAATCATAGCTGTCATGGTTATGTGGTAAAAATGCAGAGGAAGTGACGCACCTATTAACAACCAAATGGATGGGATTGTTCATTTGTAGTTACAATGTTTGCATACAGTGTAGTTCCTGCTATTGCCTCCCCCCCCCCTTTATGTTCTATATAAATATGTATTATTCTGTTCGACAAAAACAAGATACCTGCCACATCAGTAGTAGTTATGCAGTATTCTAGTTCGTTATTTAACAATACACATAATTACTTGAGTATTCTGGCGTACTCGTAATTTAATAATTATTATTCCAGCTGTTCTATTTTAACACCTAGATAAAGATTTGAATACATTATGTGTGTAATCAATGTATAGTCAAATTTTGTACACGTATTTTATAAATATCGAAAAGTTTTTACTGTTTTTTTTTCTATGTTTCCAATATAAATTTTAAATAATTATTATATTTTATGTGTTAACTAAATACTATACGTACTATTCTGTTTAGGTATATATCGTTGTATAAATTACATTGTTTTATTTTATTATTATTAAAGTAGATTAATTATTTTATTTTTTATTTTTTAGACTCCAGGAGAAAGCAAGATACCTGTGCTGCATTCAAACCAACTGAGATCTCGATTTTCTAATATTTCAAATAAAGTTCGTTCGCATCTGGATAGTTCCTATCGAACTTCATCGCCGTCTATGTTATTTGGACTTTTCAACAATTCCAGTTCTGAAAATAAAGTACATCCACCTACACGTCCTTCTTCACTTTTCAAACCTACAAATGGCACTTTAGTGACTGAAAAAGACATTGGTAGTTCTGTTGAATTGACTCGGCATTCAAAAACCGGAATTCTTAAATACTTTGGTAAAACTGTATTGGGTCCTGGTGATTGGTGTGGAGTAGAAGTTGAAAGTGGACATGGAGTTTGTGATGGATCTATATGTGGAGTAAGATATTTTTCTTGTCAAGATCAGTGTGCCTTATTTGTTTTAGCACATTTGGTGCGTGTATCTAAGTGTCAAAATATTGTGAAAAATAAAGTTGATGTTGAACCAATGTATGACGATGGCTGTCCAACCTCTTTATCAAATTGGGATTTAAATACTATTAAAACAGAATCTCCATTTGAATGCACTGATAGTCTTGGTATATTGACACCAGATCAAATGGTTGAATTTAGAGGTGATGAAGCAAATTATGAAGTTCCTGGTCTTCTATTTAAAATGTCTCCTCAGCAAATTACAGAAGTAAGTCAATTTTTGATATAATTAAAATATTTAAGTCCCAATTTCTTAACCTATATATTAATGTTTCAGTGTATTTCCGATGGAGATGTTACAATGAATGATTTAGAAACAATATCTATGCCTAAAGATGATGATTTAGTTTCCCCAGTTTTATCTTCTGACCCTTCAAATCATACAGTGTCTGAACATGATAGTGCAAGTGCTTATCCAAAACGCTCAACTGTTTCTTTTGGAAATGTTTTCTATGATAATTTTATAATTGATCGTACGCCATCATTAGAAGATTTGCCTATGGATGATTTATCATCTAAAACAACGACTGAGGTATCAGTACCTAGTATTGCTCCTATAAATACTGTTGTTACAAGTATAACTAGTGTTGGAAGTCTTGATACTGGTTATCAAGGAGATGGTGAAACCAGTCGTCCTACTAGTCGAGGAGCTACTGTTAAAAGACTTGGACCAACTGAACCGATGACAGATTCAGACTTCTTTACAGAAAGTGAAGCAGAAGATCATTGTCATCGCAAAGCAAGAGTTATTGATGGTACACTATATTCAGGGGATGGTAATAACATTAAACCTGGAACTCAATCAGATAATCAAAACAATGTAGCCCAAAACGTTGAAGAAATGGACTCAAGCGGAATTTATTCTGATTTCGACAGAATATTTGAAGAACCACCTATGCATAAAGATAGTTCTGAAGCAGTTTCTTCAAATAATTCCACATCTCCTTCATCTGTTAATAGCCAACGAATTCGTCCAGCTACAATAGATGAACCTACCGATTCGACTATACCCGAATGTGCTGAAGATGCATCAAGTCCTGCTAGTAAGCGTTACAAAAGACCTACACCTGTAAAACCAAAAAACTTAGACTTACGGTCTGATCAGGAAAATCGAACGCCAAGATCAAGAAAACCAGCTGGCCGTTGGGATGCTGTTATGAATAAGATAGAAAAAAGTAAAACTGATCAAAAAAGTCGTGTCAATCGATTAAAGGATGTCAAAAGCAAGATAAATTCTATAAATCCATTAGTAACAGTGTATGCTAACAGATTAAAAGAATCTCCTACAAATAGTGAACCATTACCTGTCAGATCTCATAGAGAAAATACTTCTTTGAAAGCCAAAAGGTATTTAATTATTTATCATCCATAAACTAATAAGTATTATATACCTTATTATAAGTATTGTACCTTATTATATGTTGTTGCTTAGTAATAAATTATTTTTTTAGCCGTAGGACTAGAGCTCGTGGTGGATCTGAATCAAATTTACCAATGTCTGACCAAAAAACAAATACTCCTCGACCAAGATGTATTCCTAAGAGTTCTCAAAATAGTTCCAGAGATAGTTCATTTAGTGACCTTAGTGGAGATACTAAAATGACACTTAAGCAAGCAGCTTCTCATCCTTCTCTTATTAGTAAGTAGAACTAGTGATTAGTAATTAGTAATTCTATTTTATGAATGTGTTTAAATAAATTAAATTTGTTTATTCTACATTTATTAACTTTTTAATTTTATTATAACTATTCTTATATATTTATGTAGTATACAAATTAATAATAACTAAATATCTAAATTAAAGACTAAATGTACTTAATAACAGCATCAAACGTTGTAAAAAGTAGTTAAGTAATTCTTTGTTGATATTTACTATTAGGAACATAGTATACTAGTACAATCAAATTTGGTTTTATTTTAATAATTAATAAGAAATTTGTTATTTGTACAGAAAATATGAAATCAAAAAGAAAACTATAATTCGACAAAATAAAATAAAAATAAAAAAAGAGAAGAAGTATTAAAATTTTGTTTTAATATTAGTTTTACTTTTAAAAACATCGTTGATTTCAAATTTAAATTATTTTGAGTATAATTTATTCAATATTTAAAAGTTAATTCTAAATAATAATTTATAATAGACAATTTATGGACAATATATTATATTGTATTTATCAATAATAAAAGATATGTGCCTGCAGTATAGGCCACACATTAAACGTAAAATCAAGTGCTATTGTATATAATTTATATTTTAATAGCGTTTTGAATAATTTTATATTTATGTTTTAATAAAGTTAATTTAATTATTTTTTATTTAATGTGTCGCGTCGTTTAGTTGTTTATTAAAGAAACTTTATTTCTATCTTTATTGGAATTTACATAAATTCTTTAAAAATTATTTTTATCAACTCTACATGAAAAAGCTCTTAAGTGTGAGAAAAATTAAGCATATAATTATATTTGTAACATCGTATTAAATAATAATATCAAATTAAAAAAATGTATGTTTATGAATCATTTTTATTTTCTATATCCGAGCTTAAAAAACAGTTATGAGTTTAAACTTAGTCGTTTTATTCTACATCTTATTCAAAAAATAATTTAAAGAAAAACTCGATTTATAATTAATAATTCCTTATAACGGATCGCTTCTATTTTTTATTCATGAAACTTAAATTTTTTTATAATAAACACGGTTCATGAAACTTTTAAAATATTTTTGTTCATAAAAGTTTTTTTCTAAAAATGGTAGACTTATTTTATATCATACCTATAGATAGAAACTGATAGAACTGGATTGCTTTTAATAAATATTTAAATAAATGTGTGACTGTCTTTCAAAAATTACATTAAATCTTTGTGATACATAAAATTTATTTGAAATATTTGTAATAACGTAATACTTAGTTTTTTTTTTTTTTTTCATAGATTTAATTTATTATATTTTAAATACTAAATAAAATATTATTATTAATTACTATATTATTTTATCATATAATATATAATGAATTATAAATTATATTTTAAACATTCTTGAGAAATATTTGTGTTTATAAGTAAATCAACACGCTGTTTGTCAACTTTCAAAGATTTATTTCTCTGAATTGTAATGTTATCACTTCCTTTATAAATGAAGATTCTCACCGCATAAAAACCTTATGCTACATTGCTTTCGAAAATAAAACGTGGTTATTATTTCTAAAATTTTATTTTATAGAAAATATTTTTATTTTCCGTCATTGACTTTACTAACATATTTTACTATAGAATTGTCTAATTGTCGATATTTAATGAAAACACAATCTTGTCTACCCGTGTTAGGAGTCCTTTAGTAGTGGTAACATTAATTCTATAAGGAAACCGAGGCCAACTAGAGCGAAACTCAACGGAGGCTTTTAATGCAATTATACTTAATTGTCAGTCTTTAAGATGATACGTATACTGCAAAGTATCTTAAATATTTTCATCCTAGTGAAAACTCATATTTTTCGAAAATTTGATCACCGTCACTATGAAGATTTACGTTTAGGTCTCATTAATCTACCTAATTTACCTAAGCAATGCTATACAAATTATTCATAATATATTTTTATTTCAGATAAAAATTTTAATTTGCGCACGCCAACAATAAACGTGGTTGCACCTTCAGTTCGTAAACCTTTGACTACTGCCTTAAAAGGAACCTCTCAAAATCGAAGATATAATTCAGGTAAATCTAAAAAACTAATTTAATTTATAGTTGTGTATTGTATTTTCGACAACATTTTCAAAAATTCCTTCAACCTAACTTTAATTGTAATCGAAACATAACAAAATCCAAAAAAATTATATTTTCTTTTTTAGTGCTATAATATATTAACATATGCACATATGTATTTAATATAAAACTTTGATCAATGTTGTATTTTTAAAACGTATTGGTAATAATTTTAATTATTCGATATATAAGTATGATTAACTTCACCTAGCCGTAGTTATTATACATCTTAAAGAAAAAATTGAATAGAATTCGTTGTAAAATACACAGATTTTGCGCTTTAGTTGTTTCGTAAGTAAAAACCACTTGCGTTTACATTTGTATCTATCCACTGCAATATTAAAATATGATTTGAACGAGTGTGTTGAACCAATGAAAACCAATGCGCGGAACTAGTTTTACTTGTAGAAGCCGTGTTTAGACGACGGTAATTTTACCTTAACATTGTGTCTCGTTCGTATTGATACTATAGTGTAGTGTTTATTTAACAGATCTTCTATTTTATTTTATTATATGACACCCATGTTCGACTGTATAAAAATTCTGTATTCAATTACACTCGTGAACGTATTAGTTCTATGTTATCCTTACAAAAGTAAGAATATAAAAATATCCTCGTGCTTGTTTACTGTAGGTAGTATTTGTATGTTCCTTGTTATTTTCAATCTCTCCTCTAAAGTAATAAATTGAGTTTATATAAAAAAACTTATTGTTTGCATATTATAAATTGTACTACTGTTATTATTATCTATTGAATATATTAAACGTATAATAAATACAAGTACAAGTGGATTCAATTATTAAGTTTTATGTATTTAAAAGATATAGAGAATACTAACAAATACTGCCTACTAATTAATATTATTGTTCTACGTCGTATGATGATTAAGTATGGACACAGTATAAATTCGTTTTCATCGTGCTCCAAATGAATATGATTATTTGTGATGTATAAGATTTCTCTATATGATCACGTGGTTGAATATCGTATGGATTCAACTCTTAGATCTGTATCAGTCGTAACAACAACAACACGTGCAGGTTAACCGTTTATTTTAAATATGTAGTGATCAATCGGAAATCCGAAACGCTATTGTGTATTGTGATATCAACGTCATATGTTGATTATAGATTCGCAAAGCTTATCAGTAGAATTAAAATAAAAAAATAAAACTATTTTAGCCATCACTGTGTGGGTGACTGGAACTGTTGCCAACGACGATTCAGCATTCGAAGGTTGGGTACTAGCGAAGCCGGCCCGTAGCGGAAATTCTCTTCGAGATGCCACCATTAGTTTTAATCGGCCGGTTTTCGTGAGAGCTTCGTATGTGTGCGTGTATAAGATGTGTGTTATAAGATCGTCATTTCAATTTGTTTTCGTGGTTCTTGTGCGAATTTTTACCTCGTTCCAATTGCGTTTTTGATTATTTAATCTGCATGGATTACATATCGGTAATGTACTATTTAAATACACATTCGTCTGAAATTTTTAAGGAACTCATTGACCTCACGAACCTGCTTCTATTATAATTTAATGTAATTTTAAACATTTACAATTTAGTATTTGGTCGTTGCTCATTAAGATTATATATTTATTATCTATAATACCTTCATATTCTTAGTTTTCATAATATTTTTTTTCCGTGACATCAACATTTTAATAATAATAAACAAATACATTTTTATTTGTTATTGAAAAAGTTGCATTTTAATTTATTTTTTATTTTTTTATTAAAACGTTGTTTGAAAATGACGAGAATTCTGTATAAAATAAAATTAATGTAAATAAGTTACACCAATCATTTTTGATTGACAATTTTAACTATCTTCTTTGAATTTTTAATTAAAAATAAATTGTCAGTTTGTATTGTTTATAGTTAAAAACAATATTATTATTATTATTAAATAAAATTAGTTATTTTGATTATTCATGTAGTTATATCATTTAAATCGTCCAACAGCATACATTCCTTTTTATCTCTGAGTATATTATATTATATTATATTACTTTTTTAATTAAAATTTATGTTCTTATTTTTTCTGTACAAAATTAGTATTAATTAAAATATATGATTTTAATTTCTTTAATTAATATCTGATGTCTTTCATCAGTACAATGCATAACACTGAACCAGGTTAGATACGTCACAAATTTCATTGAATCACCTGACCAGAGCAAGTGGCCTTTCTCTATATGCTATGCACATGCTTTCACCTACTTATTATATCTAAAAAATTTCTTGACCAAAAACCTGTACAAAAATTTACAAATCCGTCGCTTGTACAAATATTCTTAAACGTTTAAAAATTTTTGCGTTAATATTCAGATTTTTATCGTAACATGAACTATTTTATCGTTATTCTCATACCTCTAAAGCCCCAGGATGTAGGTAATTACAACGGTGTATCACGATCGTGGGTCAATGATTCCTAATGCGGTTTCAAACGTGAGTAGTTTTTTTTTTGTATTTTAGTATTCTATGCATAATTCACATATGCATTCGATGTACTTGTTTCAATCATATAATGGACTAAGAAAAAAACCAAACAAATTTACGATTTGAAAATTAATCAGTTCGCACGACATCCAACTTCATGTTCTGCGATAAATGATAGTGACGTTAAGGGAGAGGCCGGACGTGATTTGATTGAAAATATAATTTTGTTTACCGATTAGTATTACCTACAATATGGTAGGTACAATAGGCAAGTTGACTGCCCTGTTTCATGGTAATTCTAGTTCAAAATCGTTTAATCGACGACCGAGCGTATTATCAACGCCACCGCAAGTCATACTCACTGACAATGCGAATGTGCAACATTTACAAAGATGGTCGTCTTTGCGATTGCACAGACGAAAAGCTCGACAGCAGGGTAAGTACAAATTATGTTTCTTATCCCAATTCACTTTTTAGACAATGATAAATAAAACTCTTAAGAGAGTATAAGCGTGTCTACTATTTAAAAATGTTAACTAATTTTCATTTCAAATCTTATCAACTTGATTTATGAATAATTATCGGTTGTTTGTATTTGTTCAAACGTATTATCAAAAATTAAATAAATAATAATTATACAAATATACAAATATCTAAATAAATATATAATAATCACGTTTAGTATTCAAAATTGTATTTAAATATAATTGTTAGGTTGATTTTGTTTAAATATACGATACCAAAAATGTTTAAAAATATTATCAACTTGATTACATCTGTTTAACAAAATAAATTAAAACGAAAACTGTATACTAATGTTACACACCAGTTCCTCTGGCCCTTGTTAAACACTTTCTCGATTTTTCTTCCGATTTTCGTTTCGGTACATTTAATGTTAAAACGAAATTTATAACTTTTTCAGTTTTATATAAATGTGAAGTATTTTGCACACTTTTTTGTTTCAAAATTTGCGGTCTCGCCAAAGTGAGATTAAACAAATAGGCCTAAAATTAAATCTGTTTTTAGTGGGATTGATGCCAGGCAGTATGGGCCGGCAATTAATAATTGGACTCTTTCGTTTGAATCATGAAATGGGCTAATCGGCAGACCGTATCAATATAGATTGTTGCTAAAAATACATTTTTGCAATATTTGTATAAATTATACGTTACATTTAATATTATTAACATTTTATTATAATGAAATTTCTTTTCTAATTTGATTTATGACGAATGACTTATTACAATTATATGGTTCCTAAATATTATTTTTTGGCTACGGAACATGTTACTAAAAATATACCAACAATTAAATTTAATAAAAAATCATGTCTGGTGTATTCTCAAATAGAAGATACATTAGGTTGGTGTAACAATAATTGTTATTTGTTATTAGTTACTTATTTCTAGAAAATTTCTTATAAAGAAATTAATAATAGTTTATATTTTCATACATACATACATACATATAAATAAATAAAATTGCTTACGACACTATAACATCGGTGTATTTTTCATCTGATTTTCAATGTTTTCAGTACTTTAAATAACAAAATGTATTTTGCAAACTTGATTGTTAAAATAACTAGTATAAATATATATGTATGGCCTTCATACCTATTTAATAAAATCATAATTGTAAATAATTTTGTTTTTAAACCCTCTATAATATTATTTAAAATAATGTTTAATTATATCAATTAAAATTTAAGATACAAATACTATTTTAAATTTGCTTCAAATAGTTAATATAATTTATGTTTCTATCAATCCTATATCAGTAAAAGCTAATTTTAATTATCAATTTATATTGAACGTGTTCATACTTTATTTTAATAGATCTTTTGATGATAATGAGTCAAACACTAATTATCATGTATATATCCAACGCATGTTTTTTATATCAAAATGGATTAAATACATATAGAGTTGAAATAGAAGAGCTCTATAATTGTATACGTAAAAAAGGAAAAATAATTTTTTTTTCGTCCTCAGTCGTATTTTTTAAGTTTTATTTATATTTTTTTACAGTGTGCATCTGCGTAAATAACTCTGTATATGAATCGGAATAATGTAATTATACTGTTTCATTGTATAGTAGAAAATTATCAGATCATATTTCAATGACAATAGTAAAGTTATCCAAAAAATGGTATTGATAAATTACAATAATAGTGCATATTGTTTATATTTCGAAATGGTAAACATGTTCATTTGAAGTCAACCGATAACTTATTTTCATTCTTGCTATTCACTTAATTAAGAACGAATAACAATTATTTCGTATAAAATATCTTAGTTTATAGCTGTTGTATGTGTTCCCGTAAAATGGTGTACAGTTTTTTCTGCTTGTAACTTAAGACATTGGTATGAAAAATTTAACCAAACAAAGAATATTCGTTGTATGCACTGCGTGTCATTCTATAAGTCGTTATGGCACTTATATTACTTTATATTCTGGAATACTTAAAGACCATGCGATCAGTCACCGCAACTAAGTGTCTATAAATTTACCGACAATTCATCCGTTATGTGATCCCCGCCGTTATCCTGCTCCCTTAATAGGAATGGTACTTTTCTAGTCATACAATAACGTTTGTTGATATATTTGTAATGATGTGCGGTGGTTCGATGCCCTACGCGCAAGCCTCGACTACCGGATCGAACGTATAGCAATAAGCGCTGGTGGTATTTCTGGTCTGTTCAGTGGCACTCGACTTCGAGATGCACTTAATAAATATGATGTGTCTAACAATAAAACAAATTCGTGGCGTTTCGGAAGAAAATAAAAAGCTCTTAAGACTCTTAATGTAGCAATTCAAAAACAAATTTAATAAGCTCCATATCCTCTTCTGGAAGTGTATTTTGGATGCACCGGTTAACTCAACGTGTTTGGCCTGTGGCCAGTAGTTGACATATTTAAAAATAGGAGTATTTGTTCGGTTATAACCACCTTTAGTCTACTACCTACAAAGATAACCGACTACTCCAGTGATGATATTGTTTAATAATTCACATAAACTCATTTATTTTTATTCAACCTTTAACAATGTTCTATAAGAAATAATATTACCTATGATTTGTTAAGTTTTTCGCCTAATATGAAACCATGATGAATTTTGTAAACTTACATTATTTGAACTCATAAAATAAATTATCACCTTTTTACTCAAATATCTTCTGTTTTTGTGTTTAATATTTTCTTAATATTTTCATCATTTATAATATTTTTTTAATATTTTCAAATATATTTCGAATTTTAAATCATTTCAACTTTTAAATTTGTGTATACAATTTAGGTCATATGAAATAAATTATACATCAAACCTTGAAGTATGCATGTAAATCAGACTCCCTAAGTTAAAGGTTAACCTCTATAAATTTAGCAATCAGCACGTTAATTATTCGTATTATAATTGGGATGTATGAGTTGATATATATGTTGTATATGTTGAAATCAAATAAAGTAAACGATCGTATTTTATATTTATTACATAAATATTTTAGGTAAATAAAGTCGTAATACTTTAAATAAAGACAATAAATAATATATTTTCCATGATTTGTTTCATTTGTTTTTTTTTTATATATTTGTTTTATATTTACATTTACATCATCTGATTAATCAATTTAATTTTCCTTCTTGTCTTATTATATTATACATTTTCTTTATTAAATATTAACTTTTTATTTTATTTTTATTTTTCATCGACTATTTTTATTTTTACTTTTTGATATTGGTTTAAATTATGTTTTCATTATAATAAATCTATGGCAAATATTCTAATAATCAGGGCTCGGAAGTTCTAGCAAATGCATATTTTTTTTTTGTTCATCTTAGAACATCCAAAGTAAGATACAAATATGTTTCTCACTACTCGGATATCATACATAAAATTTAATTTTGCTATTTTTTGCATGTTTACGGGTTTTATTGCTATTTTGCTAATTTAGGGTTTATAGTGCTATTTTCGGGTATATTTTCACATAATATAGGAAATAATCACATTTTGTTGATAATAATTGTATTTACTTGGTTATGTTTTTAAAAAATATTTTAATTATTAGAAATAAATAGATCTCATCAAATATTGTTTTATGTTTTCATCGATAGTTTGATGTATTAATAGTTTGTTATTCCCTTATTATATCATTGTATTAGATTATCAAACATTTTAATAGTCTAGGATAATTTCCTAGGTAAATATATAAAATAATTTAATAATAAGTAGGTATATTTTTACAAATATATTTAAGTAATTTAACATTTTTTTTTTAACAGTTTATTATATTATTAAATGCATATACTTTGATTTTTCGTGCTATTTATAGCGTATATTTTAGAGTTTCTGAGTGCATATTTAAGAGCTAAAAAGTAACATTTTTAAAGCTACAACTTCCGAGCCCTGCTAATAATAATATTTGTAATGTTATGTTAAAATGTGGTTTTTATATTTAAATTGCATTCATTTTACTTAGGTCTTATGGTTATATACTTTATAAGATCTAATAAATTTGTTTTTGATGGACTGTTTCCATTTGTATGGTATTGCTTACATATATTTTTACAACTTAATTTTTCACTCTTAGTTTTACTTGTTGTATTCATAAGTATGTTTACAATTTCTCAAATAAAATCTTTTTGATTATTAAACAAGTATTATATCAAAGTATCAAATAAATTAAATGTAATGTATATTTGTAACTTGAGTACTTACCTACCAATATATATATATATATATATATATGTATAAGTTTGGCAAGCTTGTATTAAATTATTAATGATTCGTTGGTATTATTGTTAACTTTGGGCATTATTTGTTTTTCCTAACTAGATTCATTATTTTTGAATTTCTTAAAACTGCTTGTTTTATACCGTTCTTGGTTGTTTATGCCTATCAATTTTAATTTAAATAATAAATAGCATCTATAACTTACTTATGTCCATAATGCAATTAATACTATCAATAGTCGTATTTACGTTAGATATTCCGTGTTCAAAGGTTTAGTAGGATTGCATTATTCATTACACAATTCGAATAAGAATGCAAAATGTTTTATAGTTAATTACTTATATCAGTCTAAAATTGAAGTGTAGGAAAGTGTTTGATTATTGTCGTTAATATTATTTATTACCGCTTGTTATTGTATTATAATGTACTATTGCCTAATGCTGCTAGGGTATTAAAAAAACCAAAATTACCTGTAATTATCAATAAATTTGGATCTTATAATACTGTATACCGTATTTAAAAGGCTATAATTTACGAAATATATAATGCTAAAGTTTTTCCATTGATGGTTCTAGATATTGATTATGATATATTACAAAAAATCTTATGTATTTTCATTATCTTCAGTACTCGATGATCATTAGTTATTCAATGCATTAATTAATAAAATATCTACTCATAAATTCACTCCTCTATTTACAAATACATAATCGCACTTAAGCTTAGTTTATTAATTGTATACATATGATATTTTTATGATGGTATAGTTTTTGTGGTAATTTATTGTTTTTATTTATAAATTCACTAAATAATTAGTAAATTACAATGGGCATGTATGAAATAAACCATAAACATACGTCAATAAAACAGATAAATTGATGACGTAAAAATAAAATAAGCATAGCTAATTTGTAGTTATTATTTATTTTTTAAATCTTAGTTTATGCAATTATAATGAATATAAAATTATATATTTTATAGTATATAATTACTTTTTTAAATAAAAAAAAGTAATAGTAAATAAATGTTTGCATTTTACGCATAAAAATATCCTGTGATTGTAGCTCGCATCGTCATCAAATTTTGTGTTATCCGTCGTAAACCGAACAGTGGTCTATTGAATTCTCGAAGCCAAATCTTCGACAGCATACTTAAAGTGTGATACTTATCTGTTACAGATCATAATCTAGTAACGAAACCTGATGGGAAAACACAAGGCCCACAAGCCGGTAAGACGACAGCGACTACATCAAAAGTCATCAAAACTATCAAAAAAGATGATGTGGTCGACCGGGAAACGTTACAATTGGTCGAAACCCAACTGCACCACGTCACCAAGGGCTTCGACGCGGTGTCCGTGCTCTTCCAGTATCTCGTTGACGACGTGAGCTCAATAATAATTACGTTATCCTTGTAATCTATATGATTACAGGTTGTATTGGTTATAGTTGTTGTTGTTGTTGAGCGATTCGCACCCCCTCTCCTCTCATCATTTCTCTGACCTGACTCCGGACCATAATAATATCATACTTACAGTTGCTTCCTAATGACTATTCGTAAATACCTCGCGTACTGTGTAATATGCATTCCGAGTGAGAGAATAAGTTGTTTTCTTGTTTGAAAAATTTTTTTTTTTCATTATGTTACCGACCAAAACCTAGAAAAACCAGTCGCGTTCACAAAGTCAACTGGGGCGAGTTATGTATAAGTTCCCTAGCAATTCAATATTTATTGTACATTATACGGTTTTTTCTTTATTTAAAACTGATTAATAGTGAAAACTGCCTTCCACTTCCACCGTCACTAAACTAAATTATTGCGATCAAACTTCGATGACGGTGCTCATCCATTTGGGTAAAATGCATTTCAGTTGTCTCTTGTGCTAAAATAATATTGCTACAAATATTACATGAATTAATTTTATTTGTCATAGTCGTTTAATAGTAGCAACAACAATACCATTTTGAAACCATTATTTTGATTAGTACTCTTAATTAATACTCCTTTGCGGAATTTTAGTCGTTTGATGTAAAAATATATTTATAAATGTTATAAAAAAAAAAAACACAAAAATATTAACAATGTTTTGAAAAAAATATTGTTCTTACATTTTTTAATCTGTTATTACAATCTAAAGTACTTATTATAATTTCCATTCGTTTTCGCGGTAAATAGAGAAAACACTTCGTGTTTCACTTTTGTAATAGTTTGGTACGCTATTAACGATTAAACATCCGTGTTAAATTTATGGAACCAATTCAATGAAGAAAAATATATTTTTATGTGATGCCGCGTACAAAATTATTTCTAAATAACCCTTTTTTTACATGATTATTTTTTTAATCTCATTATTCTGAGATACACATACGACATAAGGATAAGAAAGCGACAAGTATACACACATCGTAAATCGTTTGTATGTGTAGTCTGACACGACTTCCGGGAACTATTTTAAATTTTCATACCATAAACAATAACCTAAGCGTGATGAGTAACGAGTGGGAGCGTGTAGTTACTTTTTCGAATGTCTCATAGTCAATGGGATCGTTCATCAAGGAGGAAGGACAATCGTTTACTGCTACATACTGATACTATTCGTGATTTCTAATTATAATTAAACATCTGTTGTGACTATTGAGTGGACCTGTACTGTTATACCTACTATTAATGTCAAACGAGTGCACATCAAATGACTGTTTAATTGACTCTTAACATACAAATCGTTTTATTTCCATTATTTCATTACCGGTGATATTCATCTATTTAGTTTTTATTCATTATTTACAATATTTTTCTACTGGATTTTCAGTCAAACATAAATATGTTAAGTTTTTTTGCATATAGTCTTTATATAGTAATTGTTTTCATGATAATTTATCATCATTAATGATATTACAATAATTTTGATTTTTTTTTTTTCAGATGGATGCTCTGTCTACTACTAGGCTAAAAGAACAATTGGACGCCAACCACCATAACTTGCTATCAACTAAATGTTCACTGGGTACGTAATTTTATTATGTTATATTATATTAATCTAGAATTAAAATTTTGTAGCTTTATAAAACTTTAAAAAAAATGCTTGAAAATTAAAGCCAAACAATACTAAACATTTTTAAAATATTTAGAATATATAAATTATAAAATAAATAAATAATCAACTTAAAAAGTAAAAAAAGAAGCATTTAAAAAAAAATTATCAACTATAGAAATGTAAACTATTTTATTTTACAAAGTATAAATCATGTATAACTAACATAGCCTTGTTTTTTGACAATAATATTTTTTAATATTTAATTTTGTTATAACCCATTTTTATTCAAACAATCAATGTATATAATACAACACACATGTCAATTATTAATTTTGAATAGTTTATATGTACTTAACAATTTTACAATACAAATTAAATAATTGTTTTAGATGAATCTCAAGCAAAATGTATTCAATATCAAGAAGAAATTAATCAACTTAGAAAGGAAATTGATAAATATCATATTGATTTAGAAATAAAAGAAAAACTTGTTAATGAAAGTATGTATTATTTCTGTTAGTATATTAAATATAAACTAATAGCTACATTTGTAGTACGTCATATAATAATATATATTTATTTGATTAAGTTACTTCCCTGAAAGAAACTGAAATATACGGATTAGAAAAAAAATTGGAGGAACAAGCTAATAGCTTGAAACAACAGTTTAATGATGAACTCAACAAACATAAAAATGAATCTGAAGAGGAAAAAATGAAACTAATACTTTCTCATGACCAAAAAATAGTTGAGTTACAACAAATTAACAAACTTGAAGTTTCTCATATCCAAAAATTAGCTACTGAAAAAGAGATTGAACTCGCACAAAAAATTTTAGTATTGGAAAATGAACACAATCTATTAATGTCTGAAAGAGATATATTGAAAGAAGAAAATCAACGGTTGGTTGAGGATAAAAAATTGCAGGTATTTTACTTTAATATTTTATTCTTGTTCATTACAAACTTTCTTACTAACTAATATTTTTTCTTCAGAATACAAGTCTAGGTTACCAAAAACTTTTTAATGAAGCAGAATCATTGAGAACTGTGTTAGAATTGAAGAGTTCTGAAATGCAAGATCTTCGTAAACAAAATGAAAGACTACAGAGAGAAGTAGAAGATTTACCAGCAATTGTGCAAAGATTAGAAGCAGCTCAATCTCGAGTAGAAGATTTAAATGTGCAACTGCAAAGAAAATCAGAAATTGAAATGTATGGATGTTTTTTATTAGTTTTATAAAATTATTCAAATATTATTTTGGCTTTTGAGTATATTAAATATTATAAAAGTTTATAGCATTTAATATACTTTCCTCCAACCCTAGATATATTATTTGTTTTTTTATTAGTAATAATAATTCATTAGATTTATTTTTGTACTATTTTTGAGGAATGAGTAAACTATAAGCAGAGCTCATAACTTATACTCTTAAAAAAATTGTTTTAAGCTCAATAATATGCTCTTAAAAATATTCATATAAGCGCTTAAATATGCACTAAAAATACAAAAATATGCAAAATAAATATAACATGAAAAATAAACAATTTTTATTTATTATTAAAAAAAGAAATTTCAACTTTTATTATTAAAATTCTAATTGCTTCGCTATATGATACAAATAAATATATAATAAGTAATTTTTTTTTTTAAATGTTTACAGGCAACTTAGCCAAGAAAAAGATAAAATGGCTAGAGAAATTGATTTAGAAAAAGAAAAAAAGAAACGGTTATCTTGTCATAATGAAGAACTACAGTGGAAGCTAAAAAAGAGTACAGAAGTAGCCAATCATTTAGCTGTATCTACAAAAAGATTGAGTAATATTTTTTAAATGTTAAGAGAAATAATAATTTATTATATATATTTTAATTTTATAGGCCAAACTCCACAAGACCTAGCAGCCATGAAAGAAGCTCAAAACAATTATCAAAAACTTTGCAGAGAAAGTTCAAATTCTGAAAATAGGTATTTACTTTTCATTATAAAAAAAAAAAAAAAAAAAATTTGCATATCAGATAATTATAATACTAATTGCAGTGGTGATGAAGATACTATGACTAGTCAGTTGGAAATAGATTTGGAAGGGCCAGCAAGGATACTTGGTGTCATGAAGAAAAATGATTCACTCTCATATGTTTTTGAGGTTGAAGAAGAACCATCAGAGATAGCAACACGGTTAGTACGCCGCGCTAGTAGTCTGCGTTCTGTTGGGAAATCTCGTACACGCACTCGTGATTCAATTGGTGAAAAGCGTTCTAGAGCCAGTTCTCAATCTAGTTCTACAAAATCGGTTGAATTGGAATCCGCCCTTACTAGAAATTTGGATGAATTGTTTGTTCCAAACCCTGAAGATCGGTATTTAAGTGATTGTTTTACATGCAGTTCGGATTCATCAAACTCTTCACCAGAACACATGATTTATGATCAAAATCGTACTGCGTCTTACATAGTGACTCAACAGACTGGTAAAAAGACTAAAAGTGATGGGCTAGCCATTTAAAATCTATGCACAATAAATATTTTTCAGACTCCTTTTAATAGATTGTGCCAAAAATTGTATAATTATATATTAAATGTAAATCAAAATATCTTATTTTTATTGCTAATATTTTGAATTTTTTGTTTTATTATGATTAATTTTATTTTATTTTTTAAAAGTGTTTTTTTCTTTAGTAACTTTTAAGACTGAATTCTTTAAAAAAAAATTTACCGCAAGTCTTTGAAAAAAATGTATTTAAAAATTTGTTATGGATAATTCTTTTTTGGTTAACGTATCCCCTATACAATGCAAGTTTTTTTTAAATTTTAACCAATTTTAACCATTATATTACATTTTAAACAACTAGTATACTATTAAGTTTCGATAAAAAAAGTTCACATTTATATTTTATTGAAATTTCTGCCCTCTATGACTACATTTGAACACTAAATGTTTTTTGTTAATTTTCATTTTTTTTTTTTCATTTATTTAAAGTCGCTTGACATTTTATGTTTTATTATTTTAAGTTGAACTTATCTGACAAATAAAGTCTGATGCAATATGTGTCAAATGTAATTTAGGTACTTATGTGAAATTTATTTTGTTAAAATACTTTTCCTAATATTTCAAAATTTTTTGGAAAAAATGTATGCATTTATTTACACTGTTAATAAATTTATTTTTATTTCCTTAAATATCTTCTACTGTCCTTTTTTCTATCCTATGTATGTCTCTTAATATAAATACCATTACTTTTTCTTCTATACTTTTTATGTTAATTTTATACTTTTTATTTTAATATTTATTAATTATATGTAGATACCTGTAAAACTTGTCCAAAGAGCTTAGACAGTATTGTTTTCAAAAATTGTCATTTTGAAGTGTTTTGATTTTTTTTTTTTTAATAAGTTTTTAGTATTTGTGATATGTATGAATATATTATATTTATATATTGTATATAAAATGTTTTGTTTGATTACTATTATTATAATGTTTGTTTGATTTTTAAAAATTTTGTTATAAATGTTTATGCCTATAAATCGGGTACATACTTTTAGTGTATTTTAAATATTTATACGTCCTATTGAATGTTTATTAATAATGTATTACAATGATGAAGAATCTATCTAGTAAGCCGACTATTGTAATTGTAATTATAAAATAGTTTGTTCGTCTTAATATATAATAATTTACTATGTAGTTATCATATATGTGATATCCATTTGTAATATTACACAATTGTATTATAAGTTAAATATATGCAGCAACTCGCTGTTTAAAAATGTTTACTACGTATAAAATTGAATGTTTTGTCCAGTAAAAATATTGTAATACTGTTATTTGATTAGTGGTTAAACATAATTTGATGTAGTTTTCTCTTTTTTTGCTATTTTTAAAAATTTTAAAATGTATGTTGTGTATGATAAACCAATGAGATGAGTATAATAAAAATTAAACTGAAATATATTTTTCATTAAATTTTACTTACAATATTACTTTTAATGTGCAAAACAAGTTAGATTGTTCTAGAAACAGTAAGGTCATAGTTTTTTATTTTTAATCATAAATTATTTGTATAGTCATTAGCTAATTTTTAAATGAGGTCTATAATGTCATAACCAGGGCTCCGGACTTATAGCACTTAAAATCATTAAAATAGGCACTTAAAAACATCATTGTAAGCACTAAAATAAGTATTTAAAAAACTTTAAATTAAGCAAAAATATTTATTAAAAAAAAAAACTATAAAATTCTATCTAAAAAATCAAACAAAATAAAAATAAATCTTCACTTTCAAGACTAAGGATTTTATGGATTTTCTAAGAGATTCAAATTTATAAACTTAAAATAATTCTAAAGGTTGTTCATTGTTTTCATTAATTTGTATTGTACTGGTTGGTGAAATTATAATACTTCAAGCAACAGTTTGATTTTGCTATTTAAAGTTTGAATACTGATAAAAAGTAGGAAATTTATTTCAATTGTTAAAAAAGTCAAGTATACTTGATCATGGTTTTGTGTTTAATACCTACCATTGATTAAATATTTCTACTAATACTTGTAATAAATAAATGTTACCGCAAATCAAATATTGAATTTCCTAAGTAATTATTTTAATAAATGACAAATATGATTTGTACATTTAAAAATGGACGTTTAGAATTTGATACGCCGGTGCTCGTAATAATACGACGTTGGCACGTGCAACTCGTAACATTTTGCTGCACCGTACTCCTTAAAAACGGTCTCCGGCAATGGCGGTAACGGTTTTCAAATGGGTCGGGCAACCAATGCTGGTCAAACTTTTGGTTCTCTTTGTATTCGTAGAATCTGTAAATACCCATGACAATCAATGGCGCCCATATGGGGGGGGTGAAAGGGAGGGACATGTCCCCCTCTGGAAAATGTCCAAAACTTTGGAAAATTTTTTACTATGATCAGAAAATATTTATTTAAATATAATTTAAAAATTTAATTTAATATATGAAAATCTATAATTTGTTAATGAAAAATCTATTTATTTAGTTTGGAAAATAGGTTATCAGCTATAAATAACAATACGCTTTTTCTTTTCTATTCCATGGATAATTATCAATTCTTAAAATATTGTGTATTTCTTGAAATACGGTATGTATAAGTATGTATGTACACAACCATATTATTTATATAATATTTGTAAATTAATATTTTAATAAATATAACTAATGTTTGAAGTGTCCAATTTATATTATTAATTAAATTAAAATGCCAATAAATTACTTTTATGGTAAATTGGTTAAATAATTATTATTTTATAGTCTTTCAGTTTGATATATATAATGTAAGATTGTAAACCCCTTCCTATATTGTGGGTCATTCCTATTACATAAAATGTTGTTGCCTCATTTGAGAATTTTCAAATGGGTGCCCTTGATCCAATGGCGTATTTGAGAGTGGGGTGATGGGGGAAATCCCCCCCCCCCCCCCCCCCGAAAATTTTTAGACCAAAACAATTTTTATATAAGTAATGGGTATTTTATTAAGAAATAAAAACTATGATTTATTTTATAGTATTACTACATTTGAAAACGTTTCAAATTTTACATTAATTTAAAAAACGCAAAACGCTAAATTTTTCATAGCGTTTCATTTGTCAATAACGGTAAACGGAAATTTTTTTAAACGTTTAAATTTGTATAACGTTTAAACGCTTAAATTGTATAACGTTTAAATTATTTATAGCGTTAAACACTCAATTGCTTATAACGTTTATATGTCCCATAATGATAAATAATATGTATTATTTTGATTGAAGACCCAGTCCATACTTAGTGAAAAATTAGATAAAACACAAGCGAAATTTTCAAAACACAGATAGGTGTAAAAAAAGAACTACACAAAAAACTATTCTAAGTGGATCCGGAATTAGATTAAAAAAAAAAAAACCACAAATATTAAGGATTCACCTGATATAAGTATTACTAAAATTTTACTTGTAAATTTTGAGTCTGAATTAAAGAAAAAATTTGAGTCCCCCCCCCCTAAGTGTAAGTCTAAAACGCCCCTGCTTTGATCACGATGTTGATCTACATCGCGGTACCCACTACAACGAACGATTAATAAATACGTCCAGTTAATTGTAATACTACGGTATCGTTGAACTTTTGTCCGCTAGAGCGCACGGGAATATTCCATTATAACAATGTTATTACACCGTAAAAAAGTGCATTCAAATATTTCTCACAATAAGTCTCACAATTGACTTTAGAAAGGTGTTTATGGCAAAGTGTAATTCTTTACGGCTTCGCAGCCCGGTTTCCATGACCCGCGGGCAAAGAAAAATTGTGTGCTCCGCAGTGTCCTCTAGTCAGGGCCGGACTGGCCCACTGTGCTACTGTGCTACAGCACAGTAGGCTGCGGCCGTGAAACAAATCTTTACTGAGTTTAAAGAATAGTGAACAGATTATCTGTTTATAGAGTACCTTGGTACCTAATTATATTTTTTAAATGAGCTCAAGGTACTATTGTAGAAAATCCTAAATAATTATTATAAATTATATTATACTGAAATATAGTTTGGATCAGCTTTTTGGCAGTAGTAAATTTAGTATTTACCGTGCTTAATGCATATTATATATTATGTATATTGTACATGTTTATACACGTGTGTTATTATTATTAATGTTATTACAGACGACAAAATAAATAAATTAAAAACTAAGCCCGTGACGGACCGTATGACTGTAATATTATTATTATTATTATATCCTGTGGTATTGTTCTATCGTGGTAATCGTTTTTGACTTTTGCTTATCAAAATAATACGTTGTCTGATTTTTTCTTTGGCGGGCGCGAGAATAAAGTAAATTGTATGTTTTTTTGTTAAAAAAAAAATATTTTTAATTATTAATTCGAAATAAAATAAAGTAATTCACAAAAAATATTATTGTATTTTTATTAAACTCCACTATTGTGAATTATTTTAAAGCGTATACTTTATAGTACAAAGAAAATTTATTTTGTATAGTTACATTGGACATAGATTATGGATAACATCACATAACTAATCATGTTTGTTGAATATAAAAGTTATAAAAAACTGCCCCCCTCTAACCTCTTTAAATCCTATCAATTATCAATTTAGTGGGACAAACACACTTAAAAATTCCCGAAATAACACATTGTGGGCCACTAGTTTACCTAGAATGATAGACTGGTACCCTCCCAGTCCAGGCCTGTCTCCAGTACTCGTAAATATACACATATACTGTCTTCGATACTTGTCATCCTACTTAAATAACTCCGGAAACAATCATGTCCAGGAAGTTCCTTAGGGTCAAATGGAAAGTCAGCGGCACGAATCATTTCCATTTTATCAACGATAAATACTAAGCACATAAAAACGATGCACAACTGTCAACAATTTCCAAAATCAACGCATTAACTTACTACGCAGGATCTTACAACAATAACATTTCAAGGTGACTCACATTTTGTTCTCGTCGTAGTGCCCATTAAACTGTTATTTTTAATTTGCTTACATGCGTAAAGGTACATGTTGAAGTTATAATTTCCATCGTAGAATTCCGTATTTTGAATCGTTAAAGTTGGAAATGTAATGCTG